CAGCATTTCCCATGTTTCTGTGTTTGGCATCAGAAGCTAAAGCACTGTACGGCTGCACAGAGGACTGTTTCCAAATATTCTCACTGATTGTCACAATGCTGGCAGGCCTCCATACGTAGGTGTGCAGTGCCTCAGGGCGGGCAGCAGAAGCAGCCACTTTCAAGAAGGCTCTCTTCTGCTGCCATTTGAACCCGAGCCAGGTGCTACGGCAGACTTGAGATTCTTGTGCCGCAGGCCAGCAGAGCTGGAGTGTATCACAGAAAGGCTGCGCTTGGACTCAGGGGATTGGAGTCTGACAGCTCATTCTGTTGGCTGATTACCATTGCATAAGCATTGGAGGCAGCTTTCTTTCTATCTGAGTTGGCAGTGATGAAAGGGAGAGAGGGGATTAGACTGGAAGACAGTGGGCTGAAAGGTTTCCAAAAAGTCTTTTTGATAAAAGCTGAAGATGAATAGTAGAGTTGATGTGGTTTTTTTCAAAGCTGACAACAGAGCACAAGCCATTTGAAGGGTACAGGGGTAAAAAGGGTACAGAATTGCTTTTTTTGCCAGGGCATATAAGGACTACGGCAGCTTACACAGCCTTTCCCTCATCCAGGAAATTGCCATTATCTCAATGGCCCGATAATTGGGATTCACTATACATTCACACACATATTGCTCCACTGGCCTTGGAACATACCCACCATGAAGCAGCTTGTTAACAACTCGTTAGAAGTCCTGTCTATGACACTACAGTAGGGAAGTTCTATTGTCTATATTGGTTGGATGGATCTTCTCTATCAAATTATTCATTTCCCTTCTTTCTTTCTGAAGTATTCATAACTCTGTCCTCCCAACCAGTTATTTGGCTTCACTTGCTCTTCTTCAATGGAACATAAAGCCTGTCCAGTACAGTCCATATCGGTGTCATAATTAAACTCTATTCTCGTTTCCCACCTTTATCTTCCAATTTTCATGTGCCATAGCTCCTTTATTTTGGCTCTTTCATTTTGCCTTTTATCACCAGTTTCATGCCATGGATCATTAATGTCAAGCACGACTGATGTGGCAGAAAAATGGGATGCACGTTTTCAGAATAGGAGGCTATTAATTGTTGAAGCAGTTGATAGTTTGTTCCTTTTTCACTTGCTTAGAACTCAGCCCTGTGCAAATTCTTGTATTACAGTTTTTCTTTTCATTTCATTCAAAGCATAAGGTGCGCACCCATGAGTCAAGCTGTAGTTATAAATTTTTACCCTGTCATTCCTTCATGAGGGACAGTTATACATCATTTCTCCTCCTCCATTTTATTGTCACAACAACCCTGTGAGGTAGGTTAAGCTGAAAAAGAAGAGCGACTGGCCCAACATCACCCAGCTACCTTCACGGCTACAGATGTGAAGGCCTGGGGGAGGGGGAACAGAAAATTCCATGGAGGGAAAACAAGACAGTTTTCTCCCCTTTTTCCTGAGTACTTTTATACAAAAAAATTCTGATAATTTGTTTGGGAATTACTGGGGGAAAAAAAGACT